ATGCTTTAGTACTTTTTAAGAGCTTAACGTTAAAAAAGTAAGCTTTCACCGCCACCCTTGGCTGGTATTAATTTTGTGTTTAAATGAAGATTGATCCCAAAATTTAGAATTTCTTAAAAGACAATTACAAATGAAAAGGTCAGATTTAGTGTTGATTCCTTGATAAAGATGGTTTTAAATCCAACAGAGAATAAATACATTATTGGAGTAATATTAAAATAGTAAAATAATTGCCAATAACGCAATTTTTTTATTTTTTTTATTATTCACAGATAATGTTCAGAGCCATCTGTTTTTCATTTATGTTAACTAGCACTCCAGCACCTGGGAACCTTTATTCAGTTGAAGATAATAGCTCACTAAATCTGAGCAATAACACTGATCATCATGTCACTTTTTAAATTCAGAGATCCAACTCTGCTGATTAGCACTAACGCTAAGCTGTCTGAACCAGGAGTCAGTTTTAAAAGGTTCCAGGTGGCTTTCCAACTTTATCTGTGGATGTTGCTGATACACCTTTGTTTATTCTGCAGTCTGGCTGCAGAAAATCATCAGAATTCAGGCCAGCATGCTCTTCATGAGAAACACAACGTGTTCCCTGGAAGAACGGATGGTTCTCAGCATTAAAACCATCTGACCAATGTCCCACAGCTCTGACCTCCTGTATGCCAACTCCTCTGCTTACAGCAAAGATTCCCAGTCCTTAAAGATTTCAAATGATACTCATCACTTTTAAAAGGCAGCATTTTGAGATCCAGATCTGTTATCATGCAACATCTTAAAGGAAAAGGACAGCAAATACTGATTGTGTTGCTGGTTAGCAAAGCCAGTAATGCTCTCTTAAATTGGTTAACTGGTCAAGGATTGTTGTCTTTCTTTTTAAACTATGGAAACCTTAATTTTTCTTTTGAAATAAACCAAAAAAAATTTTTTTTTTCAGTTTTCTTTAACTACTATAAATCAGAACAAGCACAAAAGCTGTGTTTGATGTTAAACCCCTGGATTTTTCTCCACCTAGGTCATCTTTGCTACCGTAAAACACAATCCTTTATGATTATTAATTAAAACAGACTCAGAAATATCCTCTTAAATATACTTTTTCTGAGCCACAGGTAAAGATGTAAAAAATATTTCATTTTAAGTTTTATTCTAATTGCCTAGCTATAAAATTTAACCTTTTTTAGGAGAAACTGGGTTTTTTGGACCAACAGAGTCAAAGTTGAAGAAAAATAAATAAATAAATCAACAAATGTAGAACTGTAAGACAAAACTTGGTGTAGCTGCAAACCTGTGTAGTAAAATCTGGATGCATCTAAATACATTTAAGGCCATCCCATAAAACTACTCACGCTACCTAACAAAGCAAGAACCTTTTCTTATTTTGGAAAGCTAAGTCTGTCTCATCTTTAGCTACCTGTAAAGCTGCTGTTCATGTCAGGGAGGTCCTCGTCGTCCTCCAGTTGGTTATCTGTAAGCCCTATTCCAGCATTTTGCATGTCATTGTAGGACTTGGCTCGTCGGGGAGTGGAGTTCTGCGAGCCCGGCAGGCTACCGCTGAGCCCGTCTGACAGCAGGGCATCACCACCGCTACCGCTGGTGTTAATCACTTTCCCGATGGGGGGCTGCACCGGCGGCTTGGGCGTCCCATAATAGTTACCTGGGGAACCACGCAAGAGCAGAGAGACAACAAGATAAAGGTTTGGAGGTTATAGTTATGAGTCTTTGGGTCAGAGGCTAAATAAGAACTAATAAATATTCCACAAGATAATACTCTATAATAACAGCTTGAAAAAAGATTAAAATTTAGTTTGTTGAAATGAAATACAATACAGACATTGAAACATAAGGTAAAAAGAATTTTCTTTTGAATGAAAAAAGGGGAAATTTATCAGAATTGTTATTAAAAAAATCCAGAACCAAGTTTTCCTCGAGAACCTCTGCAGCCGGTTTAATGCTGGGTGTACGTTGTACGATTTTTCACCATTTTCGGGCCAACTCTCTAGTCAAAAGGTGTTGAGCAAATCCCGCTATTGAAGTAAAGTTGAGTCTGACCAGCACCATCTCTTGGCACTGTGTCCGACGTGGTTTTTGGACGTGCAGTATGAGCAGTTGGATTACATCAGAGCGTCAGGCCGTACGGTGTGAGAACATACATCGTGAGCTGTGAACTTTTAAACCTGCCGTTTCATCATACAGTTTGAGCTGTAGCTGAGTACAATAATTGAAAATATCCTACAGTGTATGCCCTGTATAATACAGCAGAAATGTTCAGGCCAGTTTAGGGTGGCGATTTAACCCAACAGGTAAACTAGGCAAGGAAACCAGAGCACCAGGAGAGAAAACACACATTTAGACATACACCTTATGAAAACTGCTTCTAGAAAGAACTCACACTTGTACTGAATTCTGAATATGATTACTAAGGTTAAAAGTTATCTAAAACAACAAGCCCTAAGTAAAAAAATAATCTTTCTGAATGGAGTTTGCATGTTGTCCCTGTGCATCCATGGGTTTTCTCCGGGTACTCCGTCTTCCTCCCACAGTCCAAAAACATGACTGTTAGGTTAAATGGCTTCTCTAAATTCTCCTTAGGTGTGAGTGTGTGCATGAATGGTTGTTTATCCTGTTTGGCTCTGTGTTGCCCAGCGATGGACTGGTGACCCTTCCATGGTTTACCCCGCTTCTCACCAATAGACAGCTGGAAGTAGGCACCAGCAGATTATTATAGTTTTATTTTACATGAATGGGTACTCTGTGGTACCGACTGAATTATATCAATAAATTTAAAGCTGCTGAATTAGGTACTCATCCCTAGTTGGATAGTTTTACATACCTCAAATTGAACGATGATTTGTACAACAAAGAGCTCTGAATTTGTATTTGTCTTTTTATGTAGATCTATTTTTAAACAGTGAACAATTTAAAAAATGTGTTCTATATATACACTACAGAGGTTCCTTTGGTTAAAAACTAAGGACAGATATGTGCTATAAGGAGACCAAGGAATAAAAATCCTGAAAATAAGACAATAGTCTAGACTGAGACTGAGAGCCGTTTTAACGGAGTCCATCTTAAAAAAAACAAAAAAAAAACGTAAACATTAATTGCTACAGTATGCTCACAGAACTAAATAGAAATATTACCTAAAATGCACAATGAAAGTAACCATGTTTGTGTGCTTGAACAAAAATTATTTGGCAAAAAAAATCTAAACATTTATTTCACTCATCCTACAACTTTATTTTGTAAATTCTGTCAAATGGGTCAGAATTTTAATTTGCAGATTTGGATTGGTGATGCTACACCAATTAAAGGCATTATTCATAATTAAAAAATCTGATTGAATGGAAGAGATCTGTCTGTGATTGGCTGCTGGCCTGGTTTATTTCAATACATTTTGCCAAGTAGCTACAGTGTATATTTCAACTATTGGAGGTCATGTATTCATGAAGTCATAACTTCTTACCTAAAAGAATTAAAAAACTGATAGTTTTTGCCTCTAAGTTTAACTATTTCCACCCACATTAAGCTAAATCCTTGCCATTTGTCTAACAGTGGATATAGAAAATAAGCTGCTCCAGTTTACCGTCATATGTTCCAATTTCCAGCAGGGTTCCACTCTTCTCCAACTCGAGGAAGTCCTCTACAGACAGGAAGTTATAATCCACCCCAGGAACCTCTCCTTCACGCGGGGAGCGGGTAGTACCTGGATGTCCAATCAGAAACAAAGAAGAAGTTATTGGACCTAATTTAGCATTGATGTATCCTATAGCTAGTCACAACATATTAACACTAATTCCTTTAGCATAGCTGCAACACACAGGAAGAAACATTTCTAAAAAAAAAACAACTAAAAACTACATTTGGAAAAAAAGGTTAAGATCTCAAATTAGGATTTGTAAAATATATAAGTTGTTTATACAAAAAATTTGATGTTCAATCAGTCTGCAAAAAATCAAGAGTGAGAGTGAAGCATTCAGGTATCTTTAAGGGCAAGATTGCTCCACTTTTCAAAGTTCTAGTTTTTGCAGTGATGCAAAAGCTTAGAATGCTGCTCTGTTTATGGTGGCTGTAAAACTCAGAATCAAGGAGTTCTGGATGAGGCTGAGCACAGCTGGATGAAACACCCTGGATATGTGCAGGAGAGTGGTGTCAAACAAAAGGATATGAGCTGAAATGATGCAAGGTTAATAGTTAGAAAGTAGCTTCAGCTAGAAATTGCTTATCAGGTTGGAAATCTGGGTGTAGTTATTGACTCAGACCTGAACCTTCAGTGGCTCAGAAACAGTAACAAAGTCCTCCTCCATCACCTAAAGAACATCTCTAGGATTAAAGGAATAATGTCTCAGTAAGATCTTATTCATGTGTTCATATCTTGTAGAATTGATTACTACAGTGAAGTATTCAAAGGTTTGCCTAGAAAGTCAATCAGAGAGCTGCAGATGATGCAGAATGCAGCTGCCTGCGTCCTCACAAAAAACTTAGAAAGTGGAGCACCTCATCCCAGTTCTAAAATCTTTACACTGGCTCCCTGTATACCAGAGAATAAACTAAAATATTTCTGTTGTCTATAAGTCTCTGAATGGTTGAGCAATAAATATATAACAGACTTGTTGTCGGTGAATCAACTGCCCAGACCAGAACCAAACATGCTCCACTTATCTAGAATAAACTAAGAGAAAATTCAAAGTTTCTTCTAATTAAGATTAAAAACATATTGTTCTAAAATGACCTTCAACTTTACCATCTAAATATTAATAAAGCTTGCAATCCATCTTTATTTCTTTGTATTATAATGTCCTAATTAATAATCATTATAATATTTAATTTCTGTTCTACTGAATTATTAAAGTTCATTAATTATTCAATTACCTTAATATCACTTCAATGCACTTTTCTTATATTTCTTCCTGGATATTCATGTAGGGCCTACAGCACTTTAAATCGTGTTGCCATAAAATTTGCTGTATAAATAAACTTCCCTGTCCTAAAGCTAATGCTACCGAAAGCTATCTGGCTATAACAGTGTTCATATACACAATAAAACCCCATATAAACTATTTAAAAGGCTGAAGATGATAATCCTTAAGACTAATTATGACCAATGATGCCATCCCCCTTAACAATCAGACTTGTGTTTTTTACATTTGGAACAGCAATCAAGCAGGTAATAAAAACAGAACCTGTTCAATAAAAACCTTAATAATGGAAACACAGAAAAAGCAATATGACCGTAGTGGTACCAACCAAGTACCAAGTACTAACACTCTGTGGAATATATACAGCTGCATGTTACCTGTGCTAACTGCACAAATCGCTAAAAAAAAGCTAATCAAAATATGAATTCTTTGAAAACACCTAAAAATATATATGTATATATATATAGTATACATGTCAGATTAAATAATACTACTTATACTTCAGCGATAGTATCAAGGTGTTACTTTATTGTATATCTCGTACCATGTCTTTTGGTTGTGCTGTTCTTTTTACATCTCTTTGCAGGTGATGAAGCAGACTGAAAATGTTTTATCATTATCTCCCTTTTATCTCCCCTTTCTTTCATCTTTTCTCCTTTTTTTCAGTTTTACCTTTCCTGTTCTACCTACATTGCAGTGTCCATATAATCTGTAAAACTCCCTGCATAATTATAATAAAGCAATTTGTATGCATAAATAAAGCAGAACACTATGGCGATAGCCGTACTGCTCCACTTGTAAAAGTAAATCTGTTGGGCTCTTTTTGGCATCAAGACAATTACTCTTATAGCCACATTGTCAAACAGGAGACTGTTAAAAAAAAAAAACATTTGGCTACTGAAACATTTTTTGGCAGAGAACTACTCAAAATTGCAATTTCGGTTTTCAGCCACAGACATTTAACACCGAAACAACATGGCCCAAACTTGTGATGATGTGACAACATCATAACGAGCACGAGGAAAAAGGATCAGGAGCAAAAAGCACAGCCAGGACACAGAAACATTGACGAGCGCAAAGAGAAAAGGAATGAAACAAGAGAGCCCAGGTGTGAAGCACAGTTCAGCATGAGGCAGACATGTTGTGAGTAAAGATGTGTGATTTTAAATGCTGCATATCGGGTCTCACTGCACACTCAAGTCAGTGGCACAAACATTATGCCATAGAAATCCAAACGTCTCCGTCACCATTTTGAATATGAGAAGAATGAGACACAGAAAAGGAAACTGATACAGAATGTGCTCACTCTGTGGCGGACGTCTTTGAAAAGACAAGACAATGTCAGTGGTAGATAGTATTTTAGTTGAGATTAGTACCAATTGTAGCCAAAAATGCTTTGGTTCTAATAGTTGACAAAATTCATTTCAGTGTTTTCTTTTTGTTTTTTCTTGGTTTCCTCATTTTATTGCTTCGGTTTCGACCACAGACTCTCCCTTCAACTTAGACAACTTTTACTGTCATTTTTTATACATGGATGGTATACAAAATGAAATTTTGTTTAGCACAGCTTTCCAGGCAGTAAATGAACATTTCTATTCCATAAAGTGCAGCAGTGATCAAATGTAAACACTGTGGGAGAAAAAACATGGTGCAAAAAATGCATTGATATGGAAGTTCAGAGCTTTAATATATATGGTGCAAATATGCAGTATTTTTGGTTCAGCGTTATCAGTGTGATGCAGAGTTATAACATGATTTAGAGTTTTCTCAACAGTTCATCAGTCTGATGGCGGTGGGGATGAAGCTGTTGCAGAACCTGCATCAAATGCTGCAAAGCCTCTTCCCAGAAGGCAGCATTTCTGTATATCCCTACCCTAACTTTAATATTAGAAAAGTTTGTGTAAGCTATGAATGCCTGAAAAAAGTGGTTTAAATGCTTATATATCCTCATATAATCAGGTGAAACTGATATATTTTAGGCTATCTAATAATAAGTAGAAAAAAAAAACTATTTCATGCTCTGAGCTGTGCTGATAACGGCAGCCTGAAAGTTACACCCAATTACCAACAGCAACATTGATGTTGATGAAAGAGCAGCAAAATGAACAAAGAGCAGCAGATCTGGTTAGCTGGGAAAAGATGATTTTTTTCAGTCTTGCCTAAAATTGAAATAGAAAACAGGACTGTGATTCTCCTTGTGTGAGCCGGTTTATCTTTGATGTGGCGCGTCGGCTGTGAGATTCATTCAGTGCTTTAAATGGCTGCTAGTTGGGCAGCATAACAACGGCAAAGAAAGGATTCCATTCTTCTTTTACATATTTCTCAATCAGCTTTAGAATTGATTTATATACATTTTCTACACATTTTTATGATCAGAAACCCAATGAATAACTCAATCCAGACAATGTCCTTTATTTCATGCCTCTCTCTTTCTGTCTCCCATGATTACGTCGTCTCTGATAAGCAATAAGCAGGTAAAAATAGATGTGAGGTAATATGGGGGAAAGGCTCCCTCTGCCGCCACGCTCTGTGACAATGGTGATAAATCACAGGCGTGTACATCCCATCTTCAACAGTAGAGCGTCACATTCACCCCAGCATGCAACAAAGAGTGCTGTCCGTGTCTAATGCCCATCATTTTCTTTGCACAAAGTAATCTTGACCAGCATCAACTGGATCCCCAAGCTGTCGTATTAAGGGAGTGCATTTCATTTGCATGTGCATCACAGGAGTTTAAATTTAGTTCACCTTAAAGCGTCTTCAGCCGACTGTCGGCTTATTTTCCCACCAAACAACGGCCGCCATTGATTGAACTCTATCTAGATACTTCTCTTAGAAAACCAAATAGGAAGTCTAACTGTGACCAGTATATAAAAGGGGACAGAAAAGCAGAACCTTGGCTTGAACCCATGCCTACCACTCTGTTATCACCAAAGGCTGAATTCATTCACTAAAACCTCAACACAAAAGCTCCTTTTGACCAAGCTGTGTATTAAAAGAAGAGGGATGATTGCTTGAAAGTTCTGCTAGTAGAGATCAGATTAATTTAGTGAATATTACACTTTATATTGACTCTAGAAAACATAATAATGCCAATCCCAAAAGTTATTTTCTGCTATTGGCACAAATAATGAATCCATCGAAGATTTTTGCGATCATATACATCATATGCTGGCATTGTGAACACTAGTGAACTAGTGAACACTTTAATGTTCTTTTTACTTTCTGCATTTTTTTTACTTTTTTATTTTTCCTACTTGCTTTGATTCTGTTTTATTTTCCTTTATTTTAATCTTGTAAAGCACTTTGCAATGTCTTTGTACTGAATTGTGCTATACAAATTAATTTGCCTTGCCTTGCCTAGAAATGGGCTGATAATGGGGAAAACTGAGCTATCTGCTTAAAAATATATGTTTGTACACAATGCTAAGACAAAACGTTTCTGGGTTTTTACTGATCTGTATTGCTCTACATGAACTCTAGCTCATAGGCGTTCTGTAAAAATACAAAAATATGAAGCTTCGCATAGGTCTGATCTATTTCAGAGAAGGAACAGTAAATAAAATGCACATAATTAAAGCAAGGGATGAGAGGAAACGGAGACGGAAAGAAAAAAGAAAGCCAGAATGACCCCAGTGATGATTTTATCCGGAATAAGCTGGTTTTCTGATTTAACCTTTTCCGAATTGTGAATCAGCTACATGCACACTAAATTATGTGTAGCCTTCCTACGTTTCAGTAGGAAGTAAAATATGCCAAGGTTTTCCATACCTTTTCATCCCTTTAA